TTAACAAACACTAGTGAAGAATACAATACTTCAATAGATTCATCCAATCAAATTGATAATCATTCAGTTTTAGAGACTCTATTAGAAGACCAAGAGATCATAACATCTAAAAGTAAGATATATTATAATATAGTTCTTGTATATACCAATAGTTTTAATTTATTAAGAATTTAGTATTTTAGTATTTTTAAAATTTTTTTTTTAATATCTTAAGATATTATWAAAGACTAAAGAGTGATTAATAATTAGATTTAAACATAATTATAAATTATAATTTCTTAGTTGAACAAGAGGTCCATCATGAAGAAACCTTGAATGATCATTTACTGATTGGTAAGTTTYGGGTATTGGGTCGTATATTGCTCATAATTGGTTCAATTTCACCATCATATTTTTATTCGTTGTAACCTTTTAACTAAATGCACATAATACACATTGATAGTATTCCTTATACACTATTTTAGTTAAATATGATTAAAATTAATCAATGAATTGAGTTTTCATCATAAGTGGTATAATATTATTAATAATATTTCTTACTTCATATTATCGTGCATAGTTCACTATGTAATACTAATACTCATAAATTTATATTATTTAATGTAACAGTGCCACAGTGGTGACATATTTTTAAACTAATTGCCACAAATTTTATTTTGTAATGATCTCAACTTAAGTTCCTTTTTTTTTTTGATCAACAATTAAAAAAAAATTATAATAATAACCTCAATCTATTTTATATTACTTTTAACATTTTTATTCACAAATTACTGTAGATAATTTATTTTTATTTTTTTAATCATAAAGATCTATAATTTGATTGTAATAACATTATATTAAAAAAATATATATTTTAATGTAACTAAAATAATAAACTAAGTAGTGATGGTGCTTTTAAATAAAATACATCATGTTGCTTTTTATAGTGAATTATATTTCTAGCTTCATTATATCTTTAAGAGGACGCTACACCCTCATGTGTTGTCTCCSTCTTACACGGGTACTACATACCAAATTTTTGTTCGCTAAATTCAATAGTGTGATGTTAGTTTAGATATTAGAGTGAATTGCCCCACTATCAAACTTTTAGGTAGGAATATTATCTGTATTCTCATGTTGGTTTTTTACGATATTTAAATTTTTAAATGAGTTATGAGCATGTTAAGTGTGAATATTTGAAAATTCACATAACTCATTTAAAAATTTAAATATCGTAAAAAACCAACATGAGAAAACAGATAATATTCCTACCTAAAAGTTCTATAATGGGTCAATTCACTATAATATCCTAACTAACAGCACAATATTGAATCCAGCGAACAAAAATTTGCTATGTAGTACGCGTGTAAGACGGAGACGACACATGCGGGTGTAGCGTCCTCTTAATGTGGTATGTACTAGTTGGGTCCCATGTCAAAAATCATACCGTGCTAGAATAGGCTTGTATTTTTGTGTTCATATCATACTACACTACTTACGTCCAATCATGGCTTACTATATTACTATACTATACTGGTATGATCTCGAATTTGATTAAATAATGTACAGCCAGCGTAGCCATATTTTTTTTAATACCTCAATTGATTATGATTTATGAGTTATGATGTTAACCTGATTGTGTTTAGAAATAGACAATACTAACAAGCAGACTAATTAATAACATAACTGTATATTTAGCCACGATTCCAATCATCTGGTTTAACCTACAATATGGTTTGTATATTTTCAGCTCTGTTTGGTAATAGCATTTAAAGTCCTAAATAATATTTTAGTAATTACGTAATACTGAATTTTTTTTAATCACCACTTATCTTTAATTCAGATTAGTGGTTTAACCCATATACCTACCTAATATTACAATATGATTTCATACTGGCCAATTTGAATACAAATGTTATATGTTGGGACCCAACTTGTACACAATTTAGAACTGTAATTATTTTTGGGCCAAACTCAAATACTTATCCCTTTGATGCTCTACTAATCAATAAAAAGCAAGCACATAACATTTTTACGATTTATACAAAAAATGTATCTATTCAGAAATTATAAATCATAACTATTTGCTAATTGTTTATAGTATTAATCATTAACCATTATATATATATTATTTTACTCTATAGTATTTTAATTGTTTAGTTCACATTCTTTAAATTTTAAATTAATAAAAATGCACAATCTACATTAATTCTATATTCTTTAAGTTAATATTAACATTCACTTTAWACTTAAAACTTAGAATTTAATTTACAAATTCAAAACATTTTAAACATGACTGAATATGTGAAAAATGTATATTAAAATA